GCTACTCTTAAGAGCTGTAATTCCTAAACCCTTCCTCCAACCTGGATGCACATACCCTCAAATTAAATCTGAGTGTGTTCACTTTCAGCTCATATCCATTAAATAACTATCGCTTGAATGTTTTGGTAAATACCTGGAAAAAAAAAAAAAAAAACTAAAATTGTGCCTGTGTCCTAATATATATGGACCTGTGTCTGTGTATGTCTTTGTCGGTGTATGTCATGGCCGAAATTGTTGGCACCCTTGATATTTTTCCTGAAAATCAAGTATTTCACACAAAAAAGGTATTGCATTAACACATGTTTTGCTATACACATGTTTATTCCCTTTGTATGTATTGGAACAATATATAAAACAGAGGCAGAAAAGCAAATATGACATAATGTCACACAAAACCCCAAAAATGGGCTGGACAAAAGTATTTGGCACCCTTAACTTAATATTTGGTTGCACACCCTTTGGAAAACATAACTGAAATCAGTCGCTTCCTATAACCATCAATAAGCTTCTGACACCTCTCACCCGGAATTTTGGACCACTCTTCCTTTGCAAACAGCTCCAGGTCTCTCTTATTGGAAGGACACCTTTTCCCAACAGCAATTTTAAGATCTCTCCACAGGTGTTCAATGGGATTTAGATCTGGGCTCATTGCTGGCCACTTCAGAACTCTCCAGCGCTTCTTTGCCATCCATTTCTGAGTGCTTTTTGACGTATGTTTGGGGTCATTGTCCTGCTGGAAGACCCAGGATCTTGGACGCAAACCCAGCTTTCTGACACTGGGCCCTACAGTGCGACCCAAAATCCTTTGGTAATCCTCAGATTTCATGATGCCTTGCACACAGTCAAGGCACCCAGTGCCAGAGGCAGCAAAACAACCCCAAAACATCATTGAACCTCCACCATATTTTACCGTAGGTACTGTGTTTTGTTCTTTGTAGGCCTCATTCCGTTTTCGGTAAACAGTAGAATGATGTGCTTTACCGAAAAGCTCTATCTTGGTCTCATCTGTCCACAAGACGTTTTCCCAGAAGGCTTTTGGCTTACTCAAGTACATTTTGGCAAACTGTAGTCTTGCTTTTTTATGTCTCTGTGTCAGCAGTGGGGTCCTCCTGGGTCTCCTGCCATAGCGTTTCATTTCATTTAAATGTCGACGGATAGTTCGCGCTGACACTGATGCTCCCTGAGCCTGCAGGACAGCTTGAATGTCTTTGGAACATGTTTGGGGCTGCTTATCCACCATCCGGACTATTCTGCGTTGCAATCTTTCATCAATTTTCCTCATCCGTCCACGACCAGGGAGATTAGCTACAGTGCCATGGGTTGCAAACTTCTTGATAATGTTGCGCACTGTGGACAAAGGCAAATCTAGTTCTCTGGAGATGGACTTGTAACCTTGAGATTGTTGATATTTTGCCACAATTTTGGTTCTCAGGTCCTCAGACAGTTCTCGTCTCCTCTTTCTGTTGTCCATGCTTAGTGTGGCACAGACAGACACACAATGCAAAGGTTAAGTGAACGTCTCTCCTTTTTATCTGCTTTCAGGTGTGATTTCTATATTGCCCACACCTGTTACTTGCCCCAGGTGAGTTTACAGGAGCATCACATGCTTGTAACATTCTTATTTATCCGCAGTTGTGAAAGGGTGCCAATACTTTTGTCCAGCCCATTTTTGGAGGTTTGTGTGACATTATGTCGAATTTGCTTTTCTTTCCTCCCTTTTTTTTGTTTTGTCCCAATACACACAAAGGGAATAAACATGTGTATAGCAAAACATGTGTTAATGCAATACGTTTCGTGAGAAAATACATGATTTCCTGGAGAAATATATACAAGGGTGCCAACAATTTCGGCCATGACTGTATATATATATATATATGTATATATATATGATTGAATCTAATTTAGACTGACACTCATTTTACCTCTGGACTGGGTCACGATGCTGGATAATATACGCTGATGCACTAATTTTTATAAGCGCTAGTTACCCGCTTATCTTGCTATTATGAAAGCCAACCGTGTATTGGCTCAAACTCCAGCGACGTACAGGTATGTCACTGGAGCTGACGTGGATAAAGAATTTTGGAATTACGATAGGCAAGGCTTTTTAAATGGGTATAACATAGCAACTTCGGAAAAATATTCAATTTAACTGCAGTAACCCTACCCAGGAATGAAATACAGCCATAATTTCAGTATATTACTGATATGAGACACAGGGAAGATAGAAGCAAAAAAGGATGACGTATTGGGTGTGAAAATGATCCCTAAATAGGAGATTGCATCTTTTGACCCTAGGAATGGGACTAATGTTCTAAGCATTTCGCACTGAATAGAGTATATTTGGCATCAGGATTTAGAGACTCAATTCCCAAACTTTTGTCATGTAAATTTGCAGCCTGATTCACATTAGACGCTAACCTAACGTTGTCAGTGATCAATAAAACCCTATTGGTCAGGAGGTGTCAGAGCCGATATATAATTTAAATCACAGCAGCAGTATTGAACCTTTATTGGACTAAACGGCTAAAAAATCATTGAAATTTTTCTCTATAGGCACAATTCATTACAAACCTGTGCCAACTATTTGGACATTTTCTTTGGTTTAAGGACATATTTCCCTGGCCTCCCATTGCATTACTGTTTGATACTATTCATTTAAATTCTATTGAATTTCAAATATAGCATAAGTGTTCATGTTTTATACTTATTCTCTGCAAAGCAGTAAAGTGCTAAAGCTTAAAATCCGCAGCAGTTTTTTCAAAATCTAACATGCAAACCCTTGTAAGGATAGGTTCACATGACTTTATTCACTAAAAAAGTGATCTGCGGTGGATTGCTTTTCAAAGGGTGCAAGTGCAGCGGTATCTGGGATTCCAGGAGATGATACTGCCATCCCTTTTTTTTTTTTTTTTTTTTTTTTTTTTGTTTTGTTTTTCCCCAAAAGCAAATTTGTATGAATCGATTACTCTGCAAATGCAAGCTGGGGGGCATTGCCTGTCAAATTCAGAAAGCCAAGTTAAATTACCACATGTGTATTATGCCTCTTAGCTGCCTTGTTAATCTTTCGTCAGCAGCTGCCCAGGGTGTGGTACAAATGTGTGCTAACCACACATTTTTTTAACTACCTTTGTGGAACAAGGCCTTAATTAAATTTTTTTTTTAAATGTTTTCTCAAAACATAATTGAGAGATATGAAATGAGGTACAAGACCCTTTTCTATAGAAAACTGTTTCAGCTTAAGCTACATACCAGCTGAAACTTTAGTTGTGAAGGACAAAAAAATTGCATTGCAAAACTTACCCATCTACACTGCTGTTGTCCCACATACTAAGTCGTCTCCTGCATTAGATGGTGATGCTGTTGTGGGTTGAATGGTGTTGTGGTCATTCAGCCCATTTCCTGTGCGATATTGACCAGCCACTTTGGCCTTATGGCTAAATTTACACTGACTTGCAATAAAATGCAGGGAAAATGGATGTACATTTCTGTCCATTGTAACACTGTTTTAGCACATTAAAATGCACTGCATTTTGTAATATTTCCCGTGACACCACATCCTGAGTCACAAAATCATAAAGCAAACTTTTTTTTCTTTTGACCTGCATTTTACACCCTCCCTGCATTGCATTAAAAATGCATACATGTTGCACTTTATGGAATTCAAGTCAACAGTGTTGTAGTGTGAACGGGACACAAACAATTTTTAGGTGTCCTTGTGTTAACCTGCATTTTTACAGCTGAAAATGCAGATCAATGTGCTAGTGTGAATTAGCCAAATAAGCACATTGCACAGAGAGGCACCATGTCGGTGAGCCCCACTTTGCAGCATTTAGGCCTTTTTAATTGCTGTGGACAATTGGAAGTGCCTGTGACATGCTCAAACCAGGGTTGGATAGTGGAAAACACCGGAGTTGGACTTTGCTGTAGTAAACACCGGACCAATGCTTGCCAAATGCTATAGGGGCATTTGGCAAGCTTTGGTAAAACAGTCAAGTGTGAATGAGCCCTAACAAAAGGTGAGTGTATGTAAAGCCAAAATTAAAATGTGCAAGGTGCTATTATATTTATACTTACATGAACAGGAGGGGGGATATTTTTCAATGGGGAAACTTGATCTGGTGGCAACTGTCTGAGGGGATATTGTCCTGCATTGGAGAGAGGTCCTCTTACTTCCTGTTTTTGCCTCTTTTGAGCAACTGAAGGGAAATCTCAGTGGGACAAGTGAGACAGACGGCAAAAAAAATGAAGGTGTTAAGGGAGATCAATCACCAGAAGGAAAAAAAAATCTTCAATCCCCCAGGGGATCCTATGTACATAACACTTATCCCCATTACAAATTAAAAAAATATTTTCAGTCATTGCTGGCTGCAGCTCCACCCTTCTTGAAGCCTAAGGCTGGCCATACATTATACAATTTTCTTGAGATTTTTGGTTTAGATTTGCCAAAAACCATATAATAGAAGTTCAAATCTAACACTTTCAATTGTATCCAAGTAGGCAGGCCCTTGCACTACATAGTTGAAGGTAAATCTAAAGGAAATTGGACAGAAAATTGTATAGCGTATGGCCAGCCTTAAAGTATGGGTGATCTCATGAGGGCAAGTTACAGCCAGTCTGCTTCCAATGAGAGCACCTTTTCTGTTAAAAAAAAAAAAAAAAAAAAAAAAAAAAAAAAAAAAAAGCTTGGCTACACAAAAGCTTGACATTTTACTATAAAACAAAACACTGGTTTGCAGTGATCATGGAAAATGTATTTATATGTTTCAATTTGTCAGTCATAAACCAGAGTGCTAATGCAATTGACTGCTAGAAGCTGTCAATTTAAAGTGATGCTTTTTTTATTATTCAGATAGTCAACATATAAATGTTTATGTAATGAGCAAATCACATGGAGTAGATGATTTGGCAAAACCTGTTTTGTGTGCACATTTATATCTCAATATTAGTTTTGACATTTTCTTCTTACCCCTTCCCCCCCCCCCCCCCTCTCTCATTAGCAGGTAATAGCTGCCATGGAAACACAATTGTCCAATGGTCCCACATGCAATAACACAGGCAATTGTCCAAACTCTATAAACTGCACATCACCGGTGGACTCCAGCAATACAGAGGACAGCAAGACCAATTTAATAGTTAACTACCTTCCTCAGAACATGACCCAGGAAGAGTTGAAGAGCTTATTTGGAAGTATTGGAGAAATTGAATCCTGTAAGCTTGTGCGGGATAAAATAACAGGTATAGAACATTTTTAAACATTTTTTGGGGATTTTCCCTATGCAAATTTGATCATGTTTAAATAATTAAGTTCCTTTAGTTGCAGTTTGATTTACAAATTGGATATCAGAAATAGCCTGCAGTGAGTAATAAGCTTTAAGTAAAGTGAGCCAAAGTTCCTTGGTTTCCTTTGCATTCTTCCACTGCTAAGACATTGTGTTTACCTTTTTGAAAGTCTAAAGTTACATAGCTACACTCTCTTGCATCCTTGTAACTACATTTGCACATTGTGACTATCCATCCACTCAGATGCTGAACGCTGTATTGTGGAAGGCAGGGGAGTGTATTTTATAGGTTGTGACAGCAGGTTGTGGTGGTGGGGGGTGCAAGGGATTAGGCACTTGTTCCCAGGGCCTTTCTCAAATACTCAAGTCTCAGAATGTTCTTGTATGTTCTGGCTTTGTACATTATACTTGTATGTTAGGGTAGTCTACAAACACTAAATCATTCTTCCTAGGACAGATAGAGCCTTAACACTTTAGCTGCCTGACAGTGGGGGTGGGGGGGTGTTTACACACATTCCTGGTGCCTGCAGCCTCTGGGATTGTTTGTAAATCTGGCAAGCAGACTCCACCTGGTTGCTTCCACACCCCCAGTAACAGTTTTTAAGACCCTGGATGTCTCATTAGTTACACCCAAGCACATAAAATCCCCCCTCCCCCAACATATAAGCACGTACAAACTTAAACCTCGCGTCAAGGACCCCTACGCATGAAAACGTAGATTGCAATACACATTACATATTGCAACGTACGCCCAAGTGAGCAATATTTCTAGCACCAGACCTTCGCCGTAACACTAAACTGATGACCTATAGGGGACTTTAAAAGCATCCTGTAGACAATATGGGATACTGAAGCTTGTTGCCATTTCACGTGTGCATGCTTTCTTTTGTTTTTACCAAAATATTGGGTAATTGCATTTGTGTGCCCTAAAACTAATTTTTTTTGTTTTTTTACTGAAATTTTGCATTTCCTGGACCTTGAAACTACCACTATTTTTATTCTCTAGAGTCTGGTTTTTAAAATTTTTTTTTTTTTGTAAGGGTTCATCGGTATTGGTGCCGCTACCGAGTATTTTCATGATAAATTGTACTGGTGAAAATACTACCGATACTTTGCGATGTGATTTGTGCTAATGGGGGCAAATTGCAGCACAAAGATTAGCATGCGATTTGCCATAGCCTGAGTTCACACAGGAGTGGTGTGGGAAACCTCCCTGCAGGCATCCCATGCTTGGTGCCAGTGGTAGGAGAGGAAAGAAAGCCGCTGACCAATCAGATGGTGTCTAGCCCGAACTGTCAACGCTGCAAGGAGAGGAAAGAAAGTGATAGGGATTTCAAATTCATGTTGCTTTCTCTCCTACCACTGACACTCAGCATAGGATGCCTGCAGGGAGGTTTCCTGCAGCATTCCTGTGTGAATTTGGGCTATGACAAGCCTGGGTTCACACAGGAGCAATGGGGAAACTGCGTACGATTTAGACAGAAATTACATTCTTCAAATCGCATGCTATTCTTTGCGGTGCAATTTGCATCCATTACACAAATCTCACTGTAAAATATCGTTACTCTGTATCGGCGAGTTTAAAAAAAAAAAAGCCATTGGTGCATCCCTAATTTTATGCAATCTTTAGGCCTAAAATTATTTTTTAAATTTGTGCAAAAACTGCTCTGGCAGTGTAAGTGTTAAAGGCAAAGTTCACCTTTTATTTTTATAAATTACAGCTTTCCTATTTACTACTAACCATATACCATTAATGTACCTCTTTTGCAGAAAAACTGCTTTCTGTATGTCCTAGACTAGCCCTTGCCTCAGCCTCAAGTGTGGTGTATGGAAAATGTCTCCATTACTTGAGGAATGGCCTTTAGGTTGGGAAAATGGTTAAGACACAGGAGGTTCAACCGGCTGACCACATTCACACCCTACACCTGCCCTCTCCTTCTGGTTGATTACTCCCACTCACCTCTACAATTGGTGTCAGTGAACAATTTTCACACCCATCGTTTTTTTTCAACCATTCCTTCATCTATTTAGAGTATTTATTTGGCAGTATGTGCAGTAGCTGAGTGATCACAGCCTATGTGGAGCAGAGCTGTAGTACTGAAAACAAGTGTCTCTCTGAAAGTTTTGTAAAGCTCACCATACACTACAAAATCTGATGGTACAATCTCCTTTAGATCTATCAACTCTGTAGTGTGAGGGCCTGCCTGATTGGATACAGAGCTGTTGGATATATATAGTTTTGGTAAATCTAAAGGAGATCGTACAAAGATTGTAAAATCAGATTATATAGCGTATGGCACCCTTTGGTGCCTAAAAAAAGCATCTAGTTCATTTTAGGTGTATAAAGGGTGCCATACACTATATAATCTGATTGTACAATCTCTGTACGATCTCCTTTAGATTTACCAAAACTATATATTCGAATATATACTGTATATCCAATAGCTCTGTATCCAATCAGGCAGGCCCTCACACTACAGAGTTGATAGATATAAAGGAGATTTAGGCACCAAACACATTTTGCCACATGAAAAAACAGGCATCAATGCAGAAAAAAGCACAGTAAATATGTGCAAACCACAGCATGCAAAATGTCCCATGATCTACTTTGCCACGTGTAGTGCAGTCCCTTGAAGTCAATGGCCTGCTTTATTCGTTTCACAGGAAAAGTGCCAAAAAGTGCGCTTCCAATGCGCTAGGTGTGAAGTGGGCTTAAAAGTGAAATTGGTGTGTTTATACAAGAACAATCTGCATGTTTCCGAACTCACAGCACTGCACGGAAAACACATGCTTTGCAAGCCAGCTCCAAACGCACATCTCACTTGCAGCACAATTAAATGTTAATGGCACCCCAAGCACTGGTAACGGGTTCATGTCTGTTGTGCTGCAAACCCACAAAAAAGCACAGTAAAAATGTGCAACGCTCCATTCTCAAAGTTCAGGAGCTTCTTTGGGGCATTTGTCACACATAGGGCAGCCCATTCAAATGGGCTGCCCTGTGTGTGATGAGCAGTGATGCTCCAAACTCCCCAAAAAGTGTGGAAACGTGACTTCTCACAATATGGAAACGGATGTTCCATTTGTATTGCTCGACTTCGGGCAAGCAGCAGGGCTCATCTGTCAGGTGGAAGCATTCGAGCGGCAGTGCTGCCACCGATTGCTTTCACACTGCCCACATTGTCAATTCAGGCCTCCAACCCCCACATATAGGCACGTAGAAATGTAAAAGCACATGGTGCACCTACGCATGAAAACGTTGATTGCAATACACATGTTACGTATTGCCAGAGTGACAATGCTAGCACCTGACCACCTCTAACACTAAGCTGATGAACTATAAGGGGCTTTAAAAGTGTCACCTATAGAAAATAAGGTTTGACCTGTTGGATATCTATTTACTTGTTGCAACCTCATCTTTTATATTTTAGCAAAAAATGGGTAATTGCTGTTTTTTGTGCCCTAAAATTAAGTGTATTTTTTACAGAAATGTTGCATTTCCTAGACCTTTGTTGTAATATCGTGTGACATAAATTGGAGCTACCACTCTTTTATTCTCTAGGGTCTCTGCTTTAAGAAAACGTGTTTGGGGGTTTTATGTAATCTTCAGGTCTAAAATGATTTTTTTTTTTTTTAAACGTGTGCAAAAAAAGCCCTGGCAGTGAAAGGGATAAGGATAAGCCTGACACTCCCCTTTTCTGACGAGCGCCCAATCTGTGCCAGTTACACTGCAAGATGTCTCCCCTCCCTGCTAGTTCCCTGGTTTTTCACCCAGACTGCTGGAAGACAGGCAGGGAGGTGAAGAGGTAAATGCTTAATATTTTTAACATTACGCTCTTTAAGTCGCCATAAAACCCTTTTGTTTTTAAAAGCCCCAGACATTCCTAAAAGCGCCTCAGATTTAAATACGGGTTTGGTTAAAATTATTATTATTTTTTTTTTTTTATATGGACAAGTAGATGGTCATGAGGGCCTAGTAGATTAAGACCCTGATTTAGACCCTGGACAAGTAGTTTTTCAGAATTTACACAGCCCCAGAAGATGTGAATGGGGCCTGACAGCTGAGTGTCTTCATCCTTTCCCTATGTACTTGTATAAAGATGGCTGTACACACAATGATGCTGATGGATCTAAAGGTAATTGTACAATCATATTGTACAGAAAGTTTGTTTTGTGATTTTTTTTTTTTTCCAAAATTTCCACACCGGTGATAGTGACAGCTCACTTATATTTTGGTGGTGTTTGACATAGCCCAGCAGCATAAATTCATAAAGCTGAAAAATTACTCAGTGCTGTGACCCCATCAGTCAGAGCTGTGTATATGTACAAACAGCTGCCACAGTGCCACAGGCTGTGTGATGTTTGTAAATTGCAGCTCCTGTCTCCAGAGTGGCCCTTGCTGCCAGAGACTTTAGTGGTCAATTGCAAATACATCTTCTCACAAACAGCACTGCCAGACTGATGGGGGAAAAATTTTGGACTACTCGGCATAACGAAGGGACAGATCTGACCAGGACCAAGTGCTCTATGCACTTGGTTCAATGGTTGAGTAAATAAAATTGAAACAATTGTATTGAAACTTCTTTAATGTGGTAGCCGACTTTTTTTCCTTGTATTTTATTGACTATAAAACTAGGGAAAGATTGATTATAATGTAATTTTTCCCATCACAACATATACATAATTTGTGCACTCCATACATCTACTCTAAAATAAAATATCACGTTAATGCTACATTTATGTGACATAACATGTAAGCGGAAAGGTAAAGCTCAAAGTGAATGTATGTATTTTACTGTAGGAGTGCTTTAGACCCCTTTCGGCTTTATGTGGGGGGATGAGTTGCATAAATTAACATTAAGATAGGATTGATTTCGGTTGATGAGTGCACACTGCAGCTTTTTCACTTGTTTATCACTAAAAGTTCAAATGACAATGTGTGCTCACATCTGTGA